GTTCAAGACCTACGGGCCCTCCTGCATGCTCACTGTACACCTGGGACTCAAGGCTTTTCCCCTTTTGAACTAGTGTATGGATGCCCTCCCCATGTCTAGGAAGCCTCCCAGGGAACCTACACCAGACAGGAAATAAGAGAGTAAGAGAACAGCTCCAAGCCTTAAGAGCCACCCTAAATCAGTTGCAGCAATATACCATAGAAAGAGCCCTGATCTCAGGACACTGGCAGCCACAGTTCTATTCATTAAAAAAGCAGATAAATTTACCCTGGGACAAAAAATAAATGTTAAGGTCCCCCATACTGTTGTATCCCTCTTAAACACACAGGGACACTGATTCCTCTTCAACTCTTGGCTGGCACAATACTCAAACTCCTCAAGGCTGTCTGGTTCCCAAAAGTGTAGCAATTCTGCATTGCAAAGAACACCAAAAGGAAAACAACCCTATAACACAGGGGAACCAGCTAGCAGATAAAGCAGCTGAAACAGTGGCCAATAAAAAAACAGATAAAGCTCCTTCCCTCACTATGGCTTTAACACACCTAGTGGAGGCCTCTCCACGCAAGTACACTGAAAAAGAGAAGGACTGAGCAATGGCTGAAGGAGCCACACTAACTAAAAAAGGATGGTACGTGCTGCCTGACAAACACATCTTTGTCCCAACTGCAATTGGAAGGCATCTAGTAAGCAAATACCATCAGCTCACCCACCCAGGAAAAACTGTACTAGAAGCCCTCCTCAAAAAGCAGTACTACTTCAGCCAATTGCCAGCATTATTAAACCAAGCAATAAGTGAGCAGAACATGACTTGCACCAGAAATAATGCTCGATCTGTACCACAACCCCTGTCAGGTGTCCAAAGAGCAGGAGTTCCCCCTTTGAAAACCTTGAGATAGACTTCACAGATGTCCAACCAAGCAGAGGACTCAGATACCTTCTAGTAATAGTGTGTACATACTCTGAGTGGGTCGAAGTCTTCCCAACCAGGACAAAATGAAGCCAGGAGATAGCTAAAGTCCTCCTGAGAGGAACTGTGCCCCAGACTGGCCTACCGTCTACAATTCACAGTGACAACAGACCTGCCTTTGTAGCAGATGCAATACAGATTTTAACTAAATCTCTCAACATTACCTGGAAACTCCACATTGCATACAGTCCACAAAGTTCAAGGAAAATGGAATGAATGAATCGTACCCTCAAAGGAACCCTAGCTAAGTTTTGCCAAGAGACTGGCCTCCTGTGGCCAGACCTACCGCCTCTGGCCCTCATGCATGCTTGCTGCACATCTGGGACTCAAGGCTTTTCCCCTTTTGAATTAGTGTATAAACGCCCTCCTCCGTGTCTAGGAAGCTTCCCAGGGAACCTACACCAGACAGGAAATAAGGGAGTAAAAGAACAGCTCCAAGCCTTAAGAGCCACCCTAAATAAGTTGCAGCAATCTATCATAGAAAGAGCCCTGATCTCCTTAGGGACCCCAGTACATTACTTCCAGGCTGGAGAGTCAGTCTGGGTCAAAATTGAAAAAGGGACCCCCTCCAACCTCAGTTTACTGGCCCCCACATTGTTTCTCTAACCACTCCTACTGCCCTCAAAGTTGCAGACATCACTCCATGGGTCCATCATTCCAGAGTGAAAAGGGCCCATAATCCAGACAAAGAAATATATCAGTGGAAGGCCCAGCCAGACCTCCAGAATCCTCTCTGCCTCCACATCCTACAATTACCCTCTGACTAATGAACACCTGCACAGCATGGATCCTGGCCCTCCCTGGAATGGAATCTCTCATCCTGGGCATTAAACTCTCTGCTGCTGCCCCCTCTGACTAAACTGTTGCCCTTTCTATTGTCTATTGGGTAATCATAAGTTGTTTTGCTGTGCTTACCTGTCTCTCCTAGCTGAACTCAAGTCTCAGCCTGCATTTCCAAAGTACCTCTCTGTAATGTTACCTCTATCAAATTAACTGTACAAAGTTATAAAGTATGTGGTCATCACCCAAAGGAGCTGCCCTCAGTGGTCCTCCACCCTTAGCACCTGTCCTCTCACACTCAAATAAGCCAGCCTGAGTATAATGCTCAGATGCATAAAAATAAATTAGGACTGAGGAAAACTGGGTATTTTTTGTTAAGTGCAGGCTTATCAAGAGTCTGAAGGACTCATTTCAACTTGTACACACAAGGCCTATACAGACAAATGCATAAAAACATAATCTTTTGTGTTCTTCACAAAGTACTCAGTACTTCAACAAAATAAGTCACAAGAAAAAATCCTAGCTCAAAGCAATTATATGTATAAATACAAGCCATTATAACCTTATCATAAACCAAAAAGATGATGCCTCCTAAAATGAAGTGTTTAAAGGGGCATCAGAGAGGGGAGTGATAAGGAAAATATTCAACACAACTGTCAAGGTCAATAAACCACTTTTTTCCTCCGGTTGGCAAAGTCAGCAGAGTACCCCCAGCTCTGGGCTCCTCTTTTGCCCTGCGCATGCCAAAATGCCACATATCAAAATAATATAAGTTGCTCCCTTTGCATGTGCTCAGGGCTCAGACCTGGGGAGATTACTCCCCTCTGAGCCTGCTGGTGTAAAATAAAACCTCAGCACTCCAAGACCTCCAATTGCCACTTGGTTCTTCCATCAGTGATCCAGTCCAAGTTTTCCAGTATTTTCTGTAACACACTCACACATGCACACACACACACATGCATGTAAAAACATGCACATGCACATGCACACACACATGCACACAGTCAGAGACCTGAGCTCTTACTACACATAAAGGCAGAGATATCTGAGGACAATTCCAAATAGCAGTATGTGAAGAGACACACAGTGACTATGAGATTCCCAGTTTGGGTCAGGGAACTTGGAAGGGAATGACACTGGTCCTGGTCACTATCATCCCTTGCTCCTGGCAGAGGCAAATGCAAACCGGCTCTGGAGGCAAGCAACATTGCTTTCAGGTTTTCCACAGGTCAAGATCGGCCAAATATGAGCTTACAAAGATCATATAAGGATACGAATCATACTGTTAATCCGCAGATGTAAAACAGATTAGGACCCATATGGATTTGAAATGTTAGTATTCTCAGAATAGAGAATAGTCCTTTAAAAAATGTTTAAAGAAAAGAAAGGAATCACAGAAATGAGCAACAGAAAGGAATAGCAAATGTGACTAGGTGGATTTGAAAAAGACATACAACTTTTAGAAATAAAAAATACAGTTTTTGCTATTAAAAATCTCCTAGGGTGGGGTGAGTAGCATATTAAACACAACAGAAGAGAAATTAGTGAACTTAAAGATAGATCTGTAGAAATTTATTAGAAAGCAGCACAAAGAAATAGGGTGTAAAATGCAGAAGAGAGACTAAGAGACAGGAAGGTAGAGTGAGGGGTTCCCATATCAGATTGGAATCCAGGAGGAAGGATGGAGGAAATGGGGGAGGCTGGTCTTCTAGAGCTGATGAAAGACATGGGTGCAGAACACCATGAGCATGGCAGTTCCCAATAAGGCAAAGAAGTCAATCCAAACTAGACACATGGAAAATAACATGCCAAATACCAAAAACAAACTGAAGATCTTCAAAGCATTAAAAAAAGCAGAGGCACACCCTCAAAGGACCAGCAGACTGACAGTAATTTTCTCAGAAGCAAAAGAAAAGCCAAAAGACAGAGGAATAATATTTCTAAATGCCAAAGGAAAGTCAGTCATCATAGAATTGTCCACCCAGCAAAAATACCTCCATTTACGAGAGTGAAGTAAAAACAGTTTCAGAGACACAGAAACAGAGTTTACTACCAAGTAAATCAGATGTAAGCCAAAGGCACTTTAAAAAGATGCACTCCAGGGAGAAAGAAATGGCCTTGGAAGAAAAGTCTGAGGCACATAAAGTGGAGAAGGAGGCAAATAACATTGCGTATAAAAATTAACATCTAAGTCCATGTCTAACTTACAGGAATAAACTGTTTAAAAGGACAAAATTTAAATGTTGCAGAATAGCGTGAAAATTGAGAGAGGAAATGGTAGTCGCGTAAGTTTAAAAGTTTTGCAGGGTTAAATTTTAAGGCTGACCAGACAAGACTGGAAATAAAGTACAGGGCGACTTCCAGACAGGGAGAAGAAAAGAATGCATGAGAAAACAAATTAAAATGCAAAGTTTTACTAATCAAGAAGAGGAAACTAGAGGAAAAATAGGACAATAGGAAGCAAAAAGTAACAATATATTAAAAAGAAATACAGGCATATCAGACATTGCAGTGAATTCAAATGGACTAAACCCACCACAGAGTAGAGATTGTCACCCTAGATGTTTTAAAACATTAAACTGTGTGCTCTCTGTGGACACTCCCAAACATAAGGACAGGAAAAAGGTGGAAGTAAAAGACATATTAAGCAAATATTAACCAAAAGAAAGCTTTCTACTGTCAGAAAAAGGAGACTTTAATACATAAAAGAATGGTATAGACAAAGAAGGTCTTTATAAAATAGTAAAATGTTCAATCAAATGGAGATAAAACTGTTCTAAAAAATCTTGTATGTATGTAAAGGAAAACTGATAGAACACATAGAGAATTAAACTCATCATCAAAGTGGGAACTGTTCAAATTACCTCCTTTATTTATTGATAGGATAAAATTTAGTAAAAATACAAAAAATGCAATTAGCAAGTTTGGGTTATTGGAAACATAGATACCAAATAACATATTTACAAAAATTGACCAAGGAATAGGCCATAAAAGAAGGGTCAAAATTTTTCAAATATCCATTATCATCTACACCAAGTTTTCTGATCACAATGAAATTAAATTAGAACTAAAAAATATATACTTAAGATATTTTAAATCTCGCTTTTAAAAGCTTTGCTGATTAAAAAACCATAAGAGGGTGCGCCGCCACTACGCTGGGAGCGCCCGGGGTCGAAGGGGGGTCTGGGCGGATGGCCCGGCAGCTGGCGCGCTGGTTCGGCCTGCGGCTGCGGGCAAGGGAACTGGGCGCAGCATGCTTGCCGCCGCCGTGGGGAGTCTCCTGCGTCCCGGCCCGGGGAGCCTCCTCCGATGTGCCCCGGGGGCGACTCTCCGGCCCCGGGGTCTCCCCGGCTACTCCACAGGCGGGACCCCCAGGGGCTCTGGGCCCCAAGATCCGGGAAAGGTTCACAGGTTCCCCGCCGAGCACACGCCCTCGCAATTCGACAAGAAAATCTTGCTGTGGACCGGACGTTTGAAAGCGATAGAAGAGATCCCGTCTCGGATCCCGCCAGAAATGATAGATGCTGCAAGAAACAAAGCTTGAGTGAAAGCTTGTTACATAATGATTGGACGCACAATTATCGCATGTTTTGCTGTGACAGCGTCAGCCAAAAGGACTGCAGAACGACATGAATCCTTAACAAGTTGGAACCTAGCAAAGAAAGCTAAGTGGCGTGAGGAAGCCGCACTGGCTGCACAGGCTAAGGCTAAGTGACATTCTGAGTGACAGAGTGTTAATCAGAATATCATCTCTATTATCGGCAACAATAAAAGATAGGTAGAATAGACTATTTGGCAAAATATATGCCATTATTTTATTTTGGTGGAAAGAAGCACAAAGTCTTTTTATTTTTACTTTTTAATAAACTTCTCTTGAAGTCTAACAGACATTTAGAAAAGTGAACATAAGTTTATACATCTTGATGCATTTTTATACAGTGAACACACCTGCCTAAGCACTGCCCAGATCAAGATGTAGAATGTCAACAGCACCTCAGAAGCCTCCTTCCTGCCCTGTCTCAGTCATTACCCTACACTGTGCCAGTTTTATCACCATAGATAGTTTTCTTGTTTTTGAACTTTATATAAATGGAATTACACAATATGTACTTTTGAGTGTGGATTCTGATATTCAACATTATGTTGTGAGATTGCACAAATTATGTAGTATGAATTCATTCATATCTATTATTATAATATTCCATTGTATAAATATGCCACAATTTATATGGATATTTGGTGAGTTTTTAGCCATTAGAAATAGTGCCAAAATGAGTACTCTGTGCATGTCATTTAAATGTTATTGAACTAAACCACTAAGGAAGGACTCTTTAAAATCTAATTTTTAACCAAAGTTCTACTGCATTTGATAATTGAATAGTACCTTTGGGCATCCTTTCCATGGTTTGCAGTAACTAGGTGAAACACACTTGAAAATTTTATAACCTAAGAACTATTAATTATTCTAAAAAGATAAAAGTACTAAAACAACAATTATAAAAACAACTTAAAAAGACAAAAACATTAGAAAGAGAAAAATGGATGTGTCAATGGTCTTTGAGACCTAAAATGACTTTTAAAATTATGTTATCTCCTCCTCACATATTTTTGGCATCTACAGTTTTTTAATCATAAGCACAAGTAGTTGAAATGATATAATTTCCAGTTTATTGTGCATTAAGTATACTTTTAACATATTTTCCCTCATCACCTTGAAGTTACATAGCTCATTCGGTTATGGAGTATATCTGCTTTATAATTTTAAGGACAAAACTAGTCCTCTTTATCAAACTAATAAACCAAACCAAACTCATTTTCTGTTAGAAAAAGTCTTACTTTGATTTGAAAATGAAAATGTTAATACAGATTCCTGTGATGATAATCTCATTTCTGAATTCAACTCTAAGACAGACAGAAAAGGCATGAAGCATTGCAATGGGCCATCCCCTGGAGGCACCAACAAGTGGGCCAGTTTAGCATTTTGCACAGCAGTTGTTTTGTCCATGTGGGACTCTCCCTCAAGAGCTATCCATTCTTAACTTATCCATTTGTCACCCAGGTTTTTGCACCCATAGAGCAAAGTATGAGTGAGATTCAGAATGGGTGAGAAATACTTATTTTTTTTAGCACAGTAGTACAAAGTTGATTATGAGGAGGGGTAAGAAGAGCCTGTTCTTGGAAAAGGTAGATCAATTTTAGGGAAGGGTAGAGTTCAAAGATCTGGAAAGCAGATTTAAAGATCTTGAAAATATCTTCTTTGTATACTTCTTTGAAAATCTTTTGTACAACTTGCCTATGACTCCTGGGATATCCTAAATACTATAGTAAAACTCAAAAGAAAATATTTATAAGGGTGAATATGATGATTTCCATTTCTGGTTAGTGGAAGACTAGATGTCCAGAGAAGTCCTCCAGTGTTGAAGTAAAAATTTTGGTTAAAATATTTTTTAAAGCATATTTTAAAACACTTGGCTGAATTGTTGGGAAAAGAACCAAGATCTTTCTTTAGATAATAAGTAAGTAAAAATCCAGAGATTTAAGTCTGTCTTATGCTGCTCTTTGCCACATAGACAGAATAGACAAAAACATGAGGCCTGAGAGGTTGGAGATCCACATGAAGCCAGAATCCCAGAAAACATGTTGTCAGATGATCAAACTGGAATATGGTGGTGATGTTGGTGGGGTGCCTGTAGCAGTCCAGGTTCTGCCAGACAGATAGAACCAGTAAAAGATTCCTCTGGCAGGAGCTAAAGCTACAGTACAAAGGCAGAATTTTATTCTTCTTCAGGGAAACCTCAATTTAGTGCTGCACGTCTTTCAATTAATTGGTTGCAGGCTACCCAGATTTTCAAGGATATCTTCTTTACTGCAAGTTAACTAACTGTAGATGTTAACCCTGTCTACACAATAGCTTTATAGTAACATTTAGATTAGTGTTTAATTGAATAACTGTGTAGTATAGCCTAGCCAAATTGACAAATAAAACCCAACTATCACAGTGCCTCAGAGAAGAGGAGAAAGGAGAGAAACTTACCTACTTATTATCTTTAGATCTAAATGAAAAGTAGGAGAAAGTCCTTGAGGAACGCTGAACCATAAGTTTGTTATCACATGTATTTGGAGCCAGAATTCATGCCATCTGTGTTACCCATTCCTCCAAATAACTCTATACCAAACATCTTGTTAAAAGAGCTCACAACAGAATTTATTGAGGTGATGAAAGTGTTTTAACATTAGATTGTAGTAATGCATAACTGCACACCTGAGTAAAGTTAGGAAAACTAAACCTGTACACTTAAAATGGGTGAACTTTAAAGTATATAAATTAGTACAATAAAGCTGCTTGCAAAGTGACCAGAACAACCTACTATGTTTCCAAGGTTGTGAGAAGGCAGGTACTCACATATTTTGCTGTTCAGAATGAAAGACAGTATGACCCCAATGGAGGGAAATTTGACAGTATCTGGCAAAAGTACATCTGTATTTATTGAGCCACAAATGTATAACGATATTGCCACACTGTTTACAATGTTACTAAAAACAAATGTCCATCAATAGGGGATTCATTGAATAGATGTGGTATGTTCACCCAATGGAGCACCATGCAGATACAGTTAGTAATAAAGAGCTCTTATTCTGCTATGGCATGAACTATAAACTATAGTTGAGTGAAAAGAAGCACAATGGAAAAAAATATGTAGTATGCTATTGTTTATCCATTAAAGGAGGAGATATGTAAATGTATTTTTATATTAAAAAGTAAAGGATAAACTAAAAAAAAAAAAACCATAAGAGAAATTTAAAAATATTTGGAACTGGATAATGAAAATACTATGTGCCACAGCTTAGAGATGCAGTGAGAAAGAGAATATGGGAGAAACATAGAGACTTAAATGGCCACTAACATAAGAGAAGAAAAGCTGAAAATTAATGAGCAAAACACCCAACTGCAGAAATTAGAAGAACCGGACAAATCTCAATAAAGTAACCACAGGTGCAGAAATGAATGAAATAGGAAACAAAGATGGTATGGACAGGATTAACAAACTGATGGTTGCTTCTTTGAAAACACAAATAAAACAGGAAAAATTCTAACAGCATTGTTCAAGAAAGAAAGAAAGAGAGGTACAAATAACATTAAAAATAAAGGGAGGGGAGAAGGAGCCAAGTTGGTGGCATGAGTAGGGCAGTGGAAATCTCCTCCCAAAACAATATATACTTTTTAAAAATACAACAAACACAACTATTCCTAAAAAAAGACCAGAAGACACAGGACAACAGCCAGACTAGATCCACACCTGTGAGGACCCAGCACCTCATGAAGGGGGTATGATACAAGCCACGGCCCAGTGGGATGTGAGTGCAACCCCCACCCCAGCTCCTGGCGGGAGAGGAGGAGTCAGAGCAGGGAGGCAGTGGAAGCCCAGGACTGCTAAACACCCAGCACTAGACATGTGCACTGGGATGCAGACACACAGTGCGTGGTGTGCTGGATACTAGGGAAACGGAAGAGTAAAACCTGCGAGCAGGTCCTCACAGCCAGTGACCCTGGGACAAAAGAAAAGCGAGTGCCTTTTGAAAGTCTTAAAGGCACAGGAGCCTCACAGCTGGACAGAAACATACCAGCACACTCAGCCCAGGAGCTGGGAATCCCAGAGAACTCTGGGTGGCCTAACCCCCTGAGCGGCAGCACAGCTCTGAGGCCCCTCACAGTGATAAACAGCCTCCTGCCCATTACCCCTCTGGTGTGGCCCCACCATAGCGGAGCACCAGCCTGAGACCAGCCATGCCCACAGCAGCTGCACGGAGCCTGCTCCACAGCCGCTGGGGCCAGACTCAGACTCCTCTAGGGTGCAGCTGCCCAGCACAAGCCGCTAGGGGTCGCCATTATCACAGGAGAGGAAGGCGATGAGCAAGCGGGAAGGGCCTCTGTTCTCCCAGCTGACACATGTGTCAACTGCCCACGACTACCTCTATTGCCATGAAAAGGCAGAAGAATTTGATACAGACCAGAATAAACCAGACAGCCCCTGAGAGGGAACCTGGGGAGATGGATTTAACCAATCTTCCTGAAAAAGAATTCAAAATAAAGGTCATAACCATGCTGATGCAGCTATAGTGAAAAACGGAAGAACTAATGGATAAAGTTGGGAGGGACAATACAGAAATAAAACAGTCTCTGGAAAGACTTAAAAGCAGAATGGATGACAAACACCAAAGAACCAGAATAGCCAAAGCAATCCTGAGAAAGAAGAATAAAGTGGCGGGAATCACACTCCCCAACTTCAAGCTCTACTACAAAGCCATAGTAATCAAGACAATTTGATACTGGCACAAGAACAGACCCACAGACAAGTGGAACAGATTAGAGACTCCAGACATTAACCCAAACATATATGGTCAATTAATATATGATAAAGGAGCCATGGACATACAATGGGGAAATGACAGTCTCTTCAACAGATGGTGCTAGCAAAACTGAACAGCTACATGTAAGAGAATGAAACTGGATCACTGTCTAACCCCATACACAAAAATAAATTCAAAATGGATCAAAGGCCTCCATGTAAGTCATGAAACCATAAAACTCATAGAAAAAAACATAGGCAAAAATCTCCTGGATATAAACATGTTGTGAGTGACTTCTTAACAAACTTATCCCCCTGGGCAAGGAAAACAAAAGCAAAAATGAACAAGTGGGACTACGTCAAGCTGAAAAGCTTCTGTACAGAAAAGGACACCATCAATAGAACAA